TTGTATGTCATTTGTTGATTTCTATTGGTGAGATCATGCCAAAATTCTTCCTCTCATGTATTATTTATTGTATCTAACATGAGGGTATTATCTTATTTTGAGTTAAATATCTCCTACTCACATGTGACACATGAGTGATGAGCTACTATAATCTGATAGATTCTTTTAGAGGGCATAGCTCGTAAGAATTGACATTGAAACGAATTAGATTGATTGTTGAAGGGTGAATATTTGGTGGATTGCTGATTTGGTACAATCATTTTACACTACACACGAGTTTTCATGGTAACTTGATAGGTGTATACTTTCATATAGCGATGTGCTTTATATATTGCTTTGCAAATGCTTATTGATTGCATATGACTTTAAGTTTTTGGATTGTGATTTTCATTTGTATTATGAAATTATTATTTTGATATTCATTGACATTTGATGTTTGTAGGTAGCATCACTGTAAATCCTCATAAGACGACACTCGTATACTAGGGATCGCCTAGGGGTTTAATGGCCTGTTGCATGGGCTAAATGCAATCGCTAGTCCTACAAAAGTGGATTTACATATAGATTTAGTTTATTTTTTTACTTTACTTATTCCTAGGGACTAGTAAGAGCCAAGTTAGGGGGTATGATTAGCTCTAAATATTACATATTTATCCTATCATTTGTGGGCTAATTGTTATGAGTTTGGACTTAATTGTATATGTTTAATATTATATTTGCTTTTATCATGATTTAATTTGTGTTTGTCGTAAAATTGTGAGATTAGGAGGAAAATAGGCAACAAATGAGAGTGGAATACGCAAAAGAAATAAGAAAATTGAAGATTGAAGGCCATGTTCGGATGTGAGAGTCTGTATCAGAGGCAAAAATCAGGTTGAACTCCAAGTACTTGACGTCCGAACATCATAAAAGCCACGTACAGATGCGTATTTATGCTCCCAGCCAATGAGAAAGGTCCGATGACACGAGAAATAGATCTTCTTCCTCGTTTGGAAAAGCACCTTGGTACTTTCTTGGGAGCTTAGGGTTTATACCAAATCTAAAAAATTTGTACTTACATTAATTTGATAATTACTTCATTATCCATGGCTAGATAATCCCTTTTACTAAAGCTAGGGGAAGTTTTGATGCACTTGAGTATGTAAATTATATCATATGTTCTTCATTTGAGTTTTCTTTAATAATTCAATCTTTCTTATTTTAGCAAAGTTTTCTCTCTATATAATCTCTTGAAATATTATGCTATATGTGATGAATATTTGAGATTCCCTATGAGTTGAATAGCTAGATGTACATACTAGTTGAATTGTTGGAGTTTTCCTTTAATTGATTTATTTGTTGGTTTTTATGAATTTGAGTGTTTGATTGGTCAATTGTTTGATTTATCATGGACTCCGGCGCTTCACAATCCCACACTCAAGATGGGATACATGAATCCGGATGAGAGAGGATTAAGGCCTTGAAAACCTATCCTCCGAGTTTTCAAGATCAATGAATATCCCATACCAAAAACTTAGCCAAAACAAGGATATGTGGGTCCTTTCACAATTTTAATCCAATCACCCCGAACCCCACCATTCAAACATCCCCTTAGTGTTTTTTAGGTGTAGGTACATTTTTTAAGACTTATTTGAGATGAAGTGTATTGATAAATTTTTTACTTTATTAAGTTCACTTTTACTAAAATATCTTATTATTATGTATAAAATTTAGATGACATTTTATTTATATTTTTTGTTTACCCTTTCTTGAATAATGCATAATTGATTGACAATTTATTTTCTAATCAGATATTTAAATATTTTAGAGAAAATTCCAGTCACAGTCTTTCTAATTTACTATAACTTCAAGGACACCTCCTCTATTTTTTGAATCTTCACCAACACCTTTGTCAAATTAAAAATGTTAATTATAATGCAATTTTATTAAATTATACATAAAATATTAGAGGAAAAAATTCATTTTCATTCCCTCTAGATAAACATATCTTCAACGAGACCCCCTCTATTTTCTAAATTTTTTTACGTATTGACATTCGGGCTTATTAAATTTCGATTCGAATTAATTAAAATTTATTTTTTATGTATTAAAATTTGAGTCGATTAAAAATAATTATTAATAGGCTCAAATCAAATTTTAATCAACTCGTATCAAATGTTAATCGGTCGAAATTTTGATTCATAAAAAAATATAAATTTTAATTAACTCAAATTTTAATGAATTGAATTTTAATAAATAAAAAATATATAAATTTTAATTGACTCGAAATGATTTTAATCAACGCTAAAGCACAAGTAGAGCTCAATTCGTGTCCGGGGTGAGCCACTTCATTGTGACTTTTGCCCTCATTGCCTTGGTTCTTGTCGCGATGTTCTTGGCTATAAGACAAATTCTTTTTCGGTGGCGGCTATGCAACCAGATGCAGGATTTGTCGGCTCTGCAAAACCAATTCATCTACAGTTTTCTTCAGACTCCTTACTCTTGTGACTTCATTTCCCAACAGGGTTGGATTCCATGGGTCGATTTCGTCGATTGGGTGTGACCTAGGTCGTTCATCATCACAATCTTGGTTTCTCGTCAAATCTTTTGACTTGGTGATTGTCATTGATTCTGAAAGTCTTAATAAGAGAAACTTGGCGATTTTTCACATGCAACGCCAACAATTGATATTAGAAAAACAACCTCAGAACTCTAAATACGTGACAGGACAAGGAAGACACCTTCAAGAACAAGTCGAAGACCGAAAGTGTTATGGGGTTGACCCTCCGATGGTTAAATCATAAAAGGTGTTAGAGAAGAAAGAATATTCAATTGAGCTTTGATTTACTTATCTCATTTATCTCCATGGACTCCTCTTTTATAATTAAGCCATTAGCGGATTCTCCTCCGTTGTTTGAATTGTGACAGTTTTAGTAGTATGGTGGAGATAGACTCCTTATTGGAGTGAAAGCCTTTAGCTGAGTTGAACTAGTCAAAGTCATATGCAAGTAAGACCTCTATCGGGCTGGAAAGGTGAGTTGCAGCTCTGCCAAGCTACCGAGCTGCTAGTGCCGAGTTTGTGCCAAAATTCCCATTATCAGGCTTAAAGTCCAATAAGTCTTCAATGGAGGACCGACCTTCTAATCAAAATATAGTTCGTAAAAATAATTTTATTATTTTTGTTTTAATTTATTAGTAAATTTTAAGTTTTCCCCACTATGAAAACATCCTCCTCCCTTGCATATTAGACTTGTCAAACAAATAAGTCAACACAAACTCAGCTAAACAAATATGAACTCGCAAAATATTGACAGATCAGAACTTAAATAACATAAGTATTGTCTTTGTTCATTATATATAATTTTAGGCATTTCGTTTTTTTTTTCCTGCTTAATTCAAAAACTAAGTATTTATTTTAATAGATTAGGGACAAGTGGAAACACGATTTTGTTTCCATCACAATAAATTTCTCAAAAGCCACGCTAACAAGTAATTCTGCTCTTGGAGTAAATATTTGGTATAACAATAACATCATATTATTATTGTCACGTGATATCACTAATCAATATGATATCACGTGATAAAATAATAAATATGATTGATGAACTCCACTATTCCAACATGATATAGATAGTTATTAATGGTTAATAAAATAATGTGAAGCCCTTTCATATTCAAGTTCTCAATCACAACGGTTAATTCCATCATGCATTAATTATTGAAAATACATTGTAACCGCCTCCGGTATCTCTGCACCTTCTCTGTCTCCCTAGATTCTATAGTGGTCTTCATTTGCGTTTTTGTCTTCTCTCTCTCTCCAATTAAAACCATGGAGAGTCCAACTCTCAATGGTTTTAGAATTACTTGGGAGACGGCAAATGCAACCTTATACTCGGGATTGAATTCTAATTTCAAAGTGGGTGCATATATCTATTTAATTTCAGAGTGGATTTGTATACAATAGATATATCTATCAAGGAAGTTTGAAAAGTTTATGGTAAGTTGGTCGTAAATAAAGTTTCCAGTTGTTTCCTTCGTTTTAAGTTTACTTGCAGTTCTGAAATATTGATATATAATTACATCTCAAGCATTCATCTCTTTTCTTTCCTTCTCGAACTTTTTCTTTATGTGGAGCTTAGTTGGACAACATTTTATTCAACCTGAAGCACTGCAATTTTGTGTTTCTGTGCATGACTATATTCTTGCATGGTCGCATTACTTCCACCTAACACGACTCTTTGTCAATCTTACTTTTGTGTTTGATATTTATATTGCTTGAATAGATGGGAACGCGAAGTTGAGAATTACTTGTGTCTTTGACTATCGGACCTTGCTCCGAGGGCATAAATAGAATAGACAAACGGTTTTTTTATTAGACTGAAATGAAACTCGCCGGAAAGTTAAAAATGAAATTGATAAATAATAAATCTGAAGGACCAAAATGAAAATGGTTTTGTATCAAATTGAAACTATTTTGAACCCCTTGTTAAAATTAATATTCAATAGTTTAAATAAAATAACTTGTCAAACAATTTTTATCCCTTATGAAATATATTATTCTTATTTTTTTCTCAAAAATAAATAAACGTCTTTCTATCTTTTCCTTTTGTATGCATCAAGTAGTATAATTTTCGATTTGTGAAAGAAAATTTCAAAAAGAAAACACTAAAAATGTAGAAAAAAAAAATGAAGGGCATTATTGTGCTAAATTTATAATAAAGATTGTTACCTCCATTTAGCTATTGGATTTTTCATCATGCCCTGGTAGAGTATACCAAGGTAAAGTGTTACACTGTATCAATCCAGGAAGATAGAAGTTTGCCCTAATAGTTGTAGTGATTCGTTCTTTTATTTGCAGTAACGGTACCTGGTAGGGAAGTGGAAGCTCCACCCACCAAAAGCCATGACGCTGGAAGTTAAAATCGACCGAGAAAATTAAACCCGCCTCTCCAACTTTTTTTTCTCTAAGCACCTACAACGTTTCAATTCTAGATCAGCTCTTCCGTCATGCATATATCCCAATGGTTCTCTACTACCCAAATGATCAAACTAGTAGTGATCTCAATGATGCCATTGCCATCGCTGGAAGAACACAACGTCGTCTAAAGCAGACCCTTTCGGAAACTTTAACTCGCTTTTACCCTTTTGCTGGAGAGGTCCAAGATGATCTCCAAATCGATTGTAATGATGAGGGAGTCTATTATGTTGAAGCTCAAGTTGATGAACATCTCACAGATTTTCTCAGGAAACCTGATATTAAGTCACTACATATGTTACTTCCATTTGACCCCAATTCCATGGAGTATATATCAACACCCTATGTAGTTAGGATTCAAGTAAACATTTTTAACTGTGGTGGGGTTGCCATTAGCATGTGCACTTTGTTGGGTGTTGGAAGCAAATTTGATCACCAAAGGAACACAAAATCAAGTAAAACAGAGGCAAAAAAATCTGCTATACATCCATACCAATTTTACTCAAGAAACACCTCTATATTTCATAAAAATGGTCACAATATCAAGGAATACAAAGGAGTAGGCCAATCTGATTTTTCAGCAAGAAAAACCACACATTAAGCTATGAAAGAACTTACAAACGGAGCTTCTGCTCAAGGACACACCTGCTGATTTTTCTTCCCAGCAAAACACAGTTTTTTTCTCTGTTTTTTCTGCAGATAACATTCTGTTTTGGCAGCAACAGTCCAGCCCTTTTATACTAATTTTTCCTAGCCAAAAAGTCCTTGAATCTGCCCATTCAATGGCCAGCAGCCTCCAAGCATTAAACCAGATTTTGTCTCTTCAATTTTTCCACATAACAGTACATGAACACTCCTCCAAATACATGAACAGACCTCCCAAAATATTCTAGACACTTCTAGTGACTATCTCTTCAAATACCATGACTTAAACTCAAAAATACAAAAACTATCCTTTAAAAATTGAGTTTATAAAAATTAACACACTTCACATAAATTCATCGATGGTCACACGAGCACAATGTTTTTGAAGGCTTGGGTAGCCACTGCTCGTGGCCAGTCTCTAGAGCAAGTATATCCTAGTTTCTTATCACCATCTCTCTTCTGTCAAAATCCTACATTGCCTAAAGATTCTTCATTGGCTATGTGACCTTTTAAACAAGGCAAGTTTGTTACGAGGAGATTTGTATTTGATGCCTCTTCCATAGTTGCACTTAAGGCCAAAGCATCTGCTGTCTCACCAGCTGTAGTTGTGGAAAACCCAACCTGTGTTGTGGTTGTAACTACACTTCTCTGGAAATGCGCCATAGGTGTTTCTAAAGCAATTCATGGTTCCGAAAAGCCGTCTGTTTTGTTACTTCCAGTGAATCTACGAAGAAAAAGTTCACCATCATTACCAGAGAGTTCTGTTGGAAACATCATCTGGATGGCGATTGCACAATGCAAGGTGAATTCCAACTTGGGACTGCCCTCCATTGTAGGGCATTTAAAGAATTCCATTGCAGAAATAAACAATGATTTTGTTGAAGAAATAAAAGGTGATGAAGGGTCTTTGAAAGTTGGTGAGCGTCTCAAAGAAATGGCTCAACCGTATTCCAATGCTGATGCTGATTAATTTCTTGTCACTAGTTGGTGTAACTTTGGCCTTCATGAAGCTGATTTCAGGTGGGGAAAACCTATATGGTGTTGTATAAGCACTCTGAGCACAAATACCCCAGTTTTGTCTAATGTCATAGTTCTAGTGGATACAAAAGTGGGTGATGGGTTTCCCTAAGTGAACAATACATGGCTGTATTCGAGCGTGATCCAGAGCTCCTCGCATTCGCTTCCTTGGATCCTAGTCCTCTTGAACATGATAACCATGGATAGGACCAAAATGTATGATCATGTTTGTTCAAAAAAAATAAAAAACTTTTGTGTGATCCTGTGATGTAAGGCCAAGTTTATGAACAAGAACTAATGGGTAGTGAGTATAAATTAAGCATAATAACATTCTAGAGTTGATTCATGAGTAAAGAAGGAAAAAGTATATTTGATAATTTTGGGCTGGTTTTAAGTAGATGAGTTGTCTCTTACATTGCAATTTAGATTGTTCGATTACTAGAAGGGACAGGCTCGAGAGGCCCGAGAAATTGGGCTTTAGGGAGACAAATTACTCTTTCATCAAATGTTTGGGGGATGACATATGTGAAAATAAGAAAAAAAAAAAAGAAGAGAAAAGTGGCTAGATAATTCTAAACCAAGAACATAAGTACTCCCATCTCAAGTTTTGCATAGAAAATTTGTGTTTTGAAAGAAAAAGAAAGAAAGAAGAGGTTGGTTGCTACTTGCTACTCGTGGCCAAATATTAGAGAGGCCCTCAAATTTCTTTCTACAGAAAATTGTAGTGGGTATATTTTGGAGAATTTATTTGACTTTAAGTACATAACTTATACTTTTTGGTTATTTAGTGTAATGCCGCCTAAAAGTTCAGTTATTAAATACACAAGTTAGTTTTAAATATTTTCTCATTACTTAATTGTCTTTGTTTGATTAATATATAGCAAATTTTGTTTACTTTTTTCTTCTAAGATCTGTTTCAACATTTTTTAGGATCTGTCTATATATATAAGTTTTGAATTTGGTTATTGATAATGATGAGATTTTGGGTATGGGCCGCCCTAATCAAAAGCCCAATAGGCTTAGGAGGCCTCTAATTGCATAGTGGCCCAAACAGCTCAACCACAACCTGTCAACCCCAATGTTAGAATGGACTGCGCCCAAAGGATGAAACCCAACAGTACCTGAAGGCTTGAAGTCTAGCCCAGCCCTAATCCAGCTCAGTGGGAGGTCAACTCAAGATAAAGGAGCGCGGCCCCTTGTCGATCTTGAAACGCTCCCGTCGCACCACGTGTCCTGAGGTCAGGGAGACCACTTCTAACACCCGCACTCTCTGTCACGGAGAATATTGGTGCGCATAACTTCTCAAGGTCCGTAGGTTCAGTGGCATCACATGACATTGGTCACTACAGAACAAAATTAGAAGGACCCACAGAACAAAATCAGCAAAAAGGATGAAGGAGCCGCAAGAAACCCTAGAAGAACCACCTTTATAAATAAGACACTGTTACACTACAAAGGGAAATGATCATCATCTTCCTCACCGCTTGCTCAGTTATCTACACAGTTAAGCTTGTATTCTCTAAGCATTTTTTGTAAAGGCTCTAAGCCAACAGTACCACTGTAATAGCCTTCTTCAAGTAACAGACTCTCTTAAAGTGAACGTAGCCTTAGTCATTCGACTAAAGTGAACCACTTACATAGTGTCTTTACAGTTTCATCCATTTCCAACTCATCTTTCCATTCTATCCCCTCTCTGGGCCATTAGATTGTGGTTCTCAACTTGGTCTAACATTTTCGAGCACCATCAGTTACATATCTCATATATATATTAACCAGTGTCTGAAGGCACGGTGTACTGTGAATATTTTTCAAATGGATGTTGGCGGTCGTTAGATGAGTCTATTTAAGACCGTTAGATGAGCTTATTGAAGTCTGTTCTGTTTTATATTATAGATATACCAGTAATTGCCTGTGCCTGAAGGTACTACGTTACTTGTAAAAAATTGTAAAATATTTTTTTTATAAATAAAGATAATATATAATATAATTTCAACAATAAAAAAATCAATTGATATTGTTCCACATGTATGCAGAACATATATAATCAAACCTTTATATAACAAAAGTCACGCTATAACTACTGCAACATATTAATTCAAAAATATGAGAAAATATAATTATTATTGATCAAACATCCATAATTTTAACATTTTTAATAAAATTATCTCAAATTTAAAAAAAAATATAACTATTTATTTTTCTACAGATTTCTACCTAAAGTTCATAATATTATCTTTGCATCATTTTTTCAATGTGAATTCGTGTCACTTTTGTAAGGAAAATATCCAAAAGTTTCACGTAAATTTTCATAAAAGTAAACAAATTTGTTAAGTAATTAAAATCAGTTTTCATTTGAATTCAACTTAAATATTCATAAAATTCAATCGAATTTAAGTTTTGGTAGGACTATTCCCACCCCACAAATCTCCATTTTCACTCCATTTAATTTCTCATTAGCAAATTACTAAGTCCACCCCTTCTACACCTACTCCATTAGTAACTAAGTCCATCTCATGTTACATACACCTCAGTTAATAAGTAAACTCACCTTATATTTTGTCATAATTAGGGTTTATTTTCTATTTTATCTCATGCTCTCACAAAAATATTTTTTCAATATGAATTTTTCAGTGAGATACATGTTAGTATTACTTTTCAATTTAATTCTATGTTTGATTTCGTATTTATTGTATGAATTTTTATTATTTTTGGTATGTTTTGATATCTTTGTCAAGTTTAATAATTTTTTATTTAGAATTTATATATGTGTATATGTATATGTATGTTTTCAGATTATTTAATATTTTTTTATCTTGTGTAGTTTTTGCATCTATGTTTGTTATTTTTTTTTTCTTGTTCCATTTTGTGTTTATGCCTGATACTTTTTTTTTCATGTCAGGTTTTGCCGCTTGTGGTTTTGTTTGTTTCTTCAATCTTTGGTTGGTTTTTTTTTTTCCTTCTTGTTTCGGTTTGTTTCTTTCTTTCTTTTTTCCTTGTTTCATTATTTTTACAAGGGGTGTATGTAGTATGGGGTGGGAATAGAGATTTGAAGGGTGGGAATAATCCCACCCTTTAAGTTTAAGCAAGAATTTATATTTTATATTTGACAGTCAAATTCAGTTCAATTCAAGTTTTAATCATAATTACGTAAAATTAAGAATTGAATTTAAGTTTGACTCAATTAACACTTATATTTTAAACCTAAAAACTAATTCTTATCTATTCTCGTTAACTGTGACGCCATAACTTTTTTTTTCTTTAGTTATTCTTTATTACTTTTACAATCAATTTCAATTGGTCTTCAACTTGAATATTCGTAAAGTTTAAGTAAGAATATATACTTTATACTCGACAATTAAATTCAGCTCAATTTAAATCCTAATCATAATCATTTCGAACTGATAATCGAGTAAAATGAAAGAATTCTTGTAATTTTTGGGCGAGAAAAAAATTTGGAGGAGGAATTTTGATCGTTTGATCAATAATCTTAAATAATCTGAGCCGTGAAAAGTTCATGACAAATAATAAAATAGAGAGATAGAGAGTTATAAGAGAGAGAGAAATCTTAGAATTGTGGAAGGAATGGAAGTCTTGCTCAAAAAATTGGGAGGGGAGAGGAAATTTCGTATTAGGACCGTCGGATCAATGTTTCTTCCAGCAAAATGAGTCGCGAAAAACTAAAGACAAAAAAATCAAGCTAATTTATTATATATATATATAAAGAGAGAGAGAGAGAGAGAGAGAGTTCTAATATAAAAAAACTCTAAAATTTAGGAATTTTAATTTCCAAATTAATCGGTTACCTTATCTAGTTTTTTCAAATAGTAACTGTGATGATAGGGGTGTTTCGGTCTTTATACTCTAAAGTGTCCTTTTGTCAAAAATAAAATTTGGGTTTGTACTTAAAGTCAAATAAATTATAGAAGGTGTATTGGCTTCCAAAAAATCAGTGTTATTTGAATCGGAATGGATCGGTCGGTTGAACCGATGAATCGGGCCCTAAACCGATTTTGTTCACCAAAAAGACCGTGCAATCGAACTGCTAAACCGGATGGTTTTGGCCAAAACCAATGAACCGGACGATTTCTAAAGCTAACCGGTTCAAAACTTAATACCAGCCACTTCGTCTTCTGTATTCTCCGTCTTCGGTTCTCCCAAATCCAGATCTCGAACAGAGGCCACACCACCCGAACTCCTTCTTAGCCATTGATTTCCTCCTCAATTGTGTAAGTATTCTTTGCCCTCCTCTCTCTCTCTCTCTCTCTCTCTCTCTCGCTACACCCACACACGGACACAATTAGTAATACACACATATAGAACTTTTGTAGTATATAGTTTACACACACAAATGTTGGGTCTTCTCCTCTTTTCTCTCAATGAATCATGGACTCAATTTCTCTGTTAGTTCAATGTTCGATTCAGTTAGGCCCATAAATTCACAAAAATAAAGCTCAGAAGATGATCCAATGGGCCAACGCTTCAAAACATGCTCGTCCAAGATTGAATCAAAATAGACCAGGGTTCTTTTTGTCTGTTGATTTCAACTCTTGTTTCCTTTTTGGAAAAAATGTCGCAGAGCCAATCACTTTATTGATTTTCTTCCCCTGCCTACTTTCACCTTTTGTTGTAAAGGAGACTTTGTATGTGATGGGTTAAGCCCAAGTAGTCCAATTTATGTATTAAAACCCAACCCCGGTTGAGGAGCCCAACCTCATCGTGAACCCACCAAGTCCAAGACAGACCAAGGCCGGCTAGACTTCTTGCTTAGCACGTCACCAAGAGGAGAGCACGGGAAGTTTATCTGCACCGCCAAAGGAAACAGTCCAAATCCACCAAGTCCAAGACAGCCCAAGGCCGGTTAGACTTCTTGCTTAGCACGTCACCAAGAAGAGAGCACGGGAAGCTTATCCGCACCACCGAAGGAAGGAAACGGTCCAATCTTTGACCACGTTT